GAGTGGTCAGTGTTCTTTACACTCCAGAATAACCAGTGTCCCCTGAAACAGCCCACTGACTGACACTTTATTTTCAATTTGATTTTATGCACAGAGATCAGGACAGAAAATGGAAGAACACAGCCCCACATTCTCACCGTGTGCTTAGGTAAAAAGAATGATGGTTTGAAATTCTTTAAAACTCCAGGTAACCTGACCTACCTTTGAGGAAATTTACCTGAAATGTCTCAGTCCTGGGAGAGCCAGCTTCTTCTTGCATATGCTGAATGAGGGCTGCCATTTTCTAGACTAGCCCTAAACGTTAGGGTTTATAACTGAAAAAAAAATTTCCTTTGGGATGGGGTTCCCTAGGTGGAATCAAAGTTGGGAAAGATCTGGATAGGACATCTGTTTTATCTTCCATTCCCCTTGTCCAGGCTGGAGGATTCTGAAGAGTTGCAGAGTCTTGCCAGGATGTTCTTAACTGCCTGCTATATAGAATGACTCTAGAAGACCTTCTTCCTCATGGAGGGAGGGTGTCTTAAACCTGATAAAATATTCTGCTGACTTCCTGATGGGATCCTACAGAAAATAATGTAAAATAAAATATTCATCTCTGAAACAAAAATTTCCTTTGGGTACAAAGTCTCACTATGATGCCTTGGTTAGCCTGAACCAGGGCCTCAAACTCACAGAGATCCACCTGCCTCTGCCTCCTGAGTGCTAAGATAAAAGGCCTGTGTCACCAAGCCCTGCCCAAAGTTCAGGTATTTTTCTCCCATTTGAAATTTGTTTTTTAAATAGTCTTCAAGGAGATACTCTGGAAGAACAGAGCCAGAGTTCTCTTAGACCTGTCCATCTGCAGGTACAGTATGATCTCTCCCTGGATGTATCCTATGAAAGATAAATGTGAGGTCCCACTAGGTCATATGGAACAAGGCACATCTGTTTCCTGTTCACCTCAGGATGGTTTCAGGGACAGGCACTGTGTAGGAGCTCTGTGAGGCCCAGTGGATTCACCCACTGCCTCTCTCCCGTTACAAGGCAATGACTCCACCGAATCTGTACCTGACCCCATCCTTGTCCAATGGCTCAAGTGAATACTTGTTCTTCCCTGGAAGAAATGAGTGCCCCAGGTGCTTTCCACAGCCCCATTACAAGGCAATGACTCCACCGAATCTGTACCTGACCCCATCCTTGTCCAACGGCTCAAGTGAACACTTGTTCTTCCCTGGAAGAAATGAGTGCCCCAGGTGCTTTCCACAGCCCCAGGTGCTCCTCCCAGTTCCTGATATCTACACACCTGACAAACTTTTGGTCCTTTCCAGACCCTCACATAGGCCCCCAAGGCTGATGTGGGCATGAGGAGGGTACAAGGTTGGCAGAGGGGCCTGCAGTAGAGCGGTGCTGATGGGAAGGCCCTGGGGTAGAAGCCTGCAGCTGTCTGGCCTCCACACCACACTGAAGATGATGCTGTCTGTGCAAGCCGTGCTGGGGCAGGCTATAGTGGCTCAGTGGTCACAATTCTTCAGAGAATATAGCACTTCAGGGATGGAGTGGCATCTGCCTTGACTGGGTGCATAGCAAGCGCTCTTAACCACTGAGCCCTACTTTTTTTTTCAAAGGTTTATCCAGCTGTCTTCCAGACTGTAAATAGGCAACGGGGGTGGGGGAGGTTGCTTTACAGCATCTGTTTATTCTTTAAAATCTTCCTGTTAACAAGGCCAGTCATCCCATCTACCCTGGAGGCAAAGGCAAGAGGGTCACAAGTTTGAGGCTTATCTGGGCTAGAAAGTCTAATCCAAGGTCATCCTGGGCAACATAGTGAGATCCTGTGTCAAAATAAAAAGAGGGCAGGGCATGTGGCTCAGTGGTAGAGAGGTCGCATAGTAAGCATGAGGACACAGGTTCAAACTTGGTACTAAAAAAATAAAATAAACAACATTTTGTGTTTGAGTGAAGCTAGTTGTGTTGCTAGTTGCTCCCAATAAAAGTTCATTTTTGGCGGGCTATAAATGCACTAAATCTCATTTTAGTAAAAAAACAAAAAAACCCAACAAAACAAAACAAAACACAACACTTTATGAAGTGATTATTACATAAAGAAGTGAATCCCCAAAACATTTTTTTTTCAGTTTCAAATGGTCAAAAAAAAAATAGAATTGCCTCTGAGCTGCCCCATGTACTGCCCCTTGGTGGGTATGGCTGCTGTTTGACTAGGAGGGAGGGTCTCACTCTGCTCACTCTGTAGCTCATGCTGGTCTAGATCTCGTTCCTCCGGCTCAGCCACCTAAGCACTGGGATTGCAGGTGTACAGCTTGATGTCCTGCTGACCACAGCTCTCAATCCTCTGCTTGTGTTGCAGAGATGAGGTGAAGTTCTGTGTTCTGGGGAAGTGGAACACTGATGAGCACCTGAATCCAGCAGCCAGACACAAGCTGCAAACATACCAGCTGGGCAGAGATGCTGTTGCCATCAGCGACTGTAGGAGGAAGCCAGTCTGAATTCACTTGAAGTAACTCCCAGACAAAAAGATTCTGGGTATGACATTAGCAGTGATTCCATCTTGCTCGAAGGCATTATAAGAATACTGCAACCACAGTAATAACATCTCATTTTGAGAAGGACTCATGTTGACAATGGCTATAATCATATCTTACACCCCTATAATGGTTTCGCTTTTTCAAAGTATTTGAATGCCTTATCTTTTTTAAATGGGCAGAAGAATCGGGCAGTTATGTTCTGTAACTGATATTGATCTGCATGCTTGGACACAGATCTGCAAGATTTTTCTCTGAAGGACCGCACAGTAAATATTTTAGGGTTTTTTTCAGGACCCAGGCAAAACTAAGCTTAATTGTTTAAAATGTAGACTTTAAAATGTTCAAACCATTGTTGGCTTGCATGGGGCACAAAGTTAAGCCACAAATGGTGTATTGCCTGGGTTGCAGTAGATACAAAAAAATCAAGAGCAAGGCAAGCATGGTGGTACACACCTGTAATTTCAGCACTGTGGAGGCTGAAGCAGGAGGACCAAGACCTCAATTCACTTCAAGGCCAGCCTGGGCTACATAATGAGTTCAAGGCCAGTTGAGCTACCTAGTGGCTCAGGGGTCAAGTGCTTGCCAACTGTATGCAAGGTTTGAATATTCAGTCCTCAGCAGAAAAACAAACAACAAACCAAAAGCAATCACTTTCCACTCTCAACCTGTTTATAAGTCTTGTGGGTTGATGCCTGTGGTATCTGGCTACTGCTTGTCCTTTACCTTGCAATGAGAGCCAGATTTTCCCATGATGCACCATGCCTGCCTGTTCTGAGTCTGATTGTGCACCTGTACTGGGTAAAATGGCTCTAGACAAGCCAAGTGTAGCATCCCTTTGACTTTGGTGTCTGGCTGAGGTGGAGCACAGGACCAAGCCAGTCAATGCTTCTAAAGATTTATTACTATTTTTTATTGTGTGTGTATGTGTATATGTGGGTGGGTATGTACCAGGAAGAGGCCATCAGAGTCCTTGGATCTGGAGTTATAGGTAACTATGAGTTGACTGATGTGGATTCTGGGAACCAAACTCAGGTCCTCTGCAAGACCAGTGCTTGTTCTTAACTGCAGAGTCATCTCTCAAGCTCCAGGTCAAAGCTTCTAAACCAAAATTGCCCTAGAGGGACATAGGTAGAGAGGACCTCACTCTTCCTGCTGGCTAGGATGCTGGAACTATGCTATTGTGTTAGGGACCACCTTATAATTCTAACTGGGAGACTCTGAGCTAGGAGCATCCAGGGTATGGTGTGAAGACCAGTGCCACTAACATTTCTTAGGAAATCTTAAACCACTACACAGAACTTATAAGTCATATGATATGTGTGCACATGGGTGTCTGAGAAACACTTTAAGTTCAAAATACATTGGGCTTATTGCCACTGTAAACTGAATAATCCAGATTAATCCATTTCCCATAATCCTGTATGTGAGTAGGATGCTTGCTGACAAGTTCTCACCATTGAGAGCAATGGAAACTTGTATAACAATCTAATGGCACCACAGGAGGAATGAAGGGCAGTGTACTCCTTAATGTGACTGTCCTACTCTGTCCACTATCCATTCTATATATTGACTGTTGAGAACTTTGCCCATGGTCCAAGGGGAATGGGATGAAGAAGTTGCCTCTTTTTAGCAGGGAACAGGGATCAGGAAGGAGCTGGGAGCATCCCTCAGGGACTGCATGGCACAGGGCATCCTGATGTCCTAGTTTTATTTCTGTTGTTGTGATAAAATACCCTGACAAAAAGAAACTTAAGGGAGGATTTATTTGGCTTAATTTCCAGGTTACAGTCCATCACTGAGGAGAAGTCAAGGCAGAAACTCAAGCAGCTATTCACATCACATCCAAAGTCAAGAGCAGAGAGGAACTAATGCAGCCACATGGCCTGATGCTTATGCTCACTAGCTTTCTTCACTCTTATACAACTCAGGGCCCAGCCTAGGGAATGGTGCTACCCACAGCCAGAGTGGGTCTTCCCACATCAATTAACAATCAAGACAATCTCTTATAGACATGTCCACAGGCACTTGCTCTAGATAATTCCTCAATTAAGAGTCTCTTCCCAAGTGATTCTAGATTGTGTCAAGTTGACAATTAAAACTAACCAGCACACCTACCATTTCCGTAATGCAGTATGATCCAAAATAACTTTGGGGTTACTTGTTACTACAGCCCAGTCAAGCTCATCCTGACCCACACACATAGCAGCCTAAAGTTTCATTATAAACAGGAACACAAAAAAGAGAACTCAGGAGGTTTAAAGCAGAATCAAACAAGAAGGAATTTGTTATGGGGGTATGGCCAGTATCATGATGGTATTAGGAGAGGCTGAGCTCATGGAAGGCAATGGTGCAGTTTCCAGGGTAGAAGAAGATGGGAGATGTAAACATAAAACAATTGCAGGAATGACCTGGAGAAAGGAAGGATGCAAGATGAAGGATGCCAATAGTCAGCAGGGCCACCATGACACCATGCCTTACCATAGCAAGGGGGACAATGGCCACCAGGTCCTTCTGGCTGATGAAGATCTCCGACACTGCGATGTCCGTGGTTCCTTTCCGCGGGTACTCCACCTGCCATGTGATGGGCTGCGTCCCCGAGAGGCTGCTGAAGCTGGCGATTTCAAAGTTCATCTGCACCACCTCACTGAATAGACTGCTGCTTCTAGAAGAGAATGGAAGAAAGCAAGTTTAACATGACATTGTTTGAAGGTCCCTTCTGTTCCCTTATCCTTCCCGCCCCCCAAACCGTGCTCAGAATATAAGCACAAAGGGTTAACCTCTCGGGGACAGCTCCAGACACTTAAAGCATGATGTCACTTTCAAGTTAGATAGCAAGTGTCTGGGAGAGAGTGGCACCCACAGGCCACAGATCTGGGCAAAGCTTCTAAGCAATGAGCATTAATCAGTGTGTATGGATGTGGTCCTTGGGCTGGTTTTGTTTTTGTGACAGAAGTTCATTTTATAGCTATGGCTAGCCTGGAACTCATTCTGTAGACCAGGCTTGCCTTGACCTTGTGGCAAGCTCCTGCCTCAGCTTCTTGAGTGCTGGGATCAGAGGTGCACACCATCTTGCCCAACTAACATTGGGTGTTTTTGTTTTTAGAAGGACTGGACTCCATAGGCATGCTCAGGGACTGTAGGCTGAATGGCAAAAAACAAAAACAAAAACAAAACCCCAAACATAAAAATGCACTTTTCTGGTTGATCCATGGAGCTGGAGATGTGGCTCTGTTGGTAGACCACTTGTCTAGCATGCACAAAGTCCTTGGTTTGATCCCCAGCACTACACAAACCAGGTGTGACAGTGCACACCTGTAATCCTAACATTTGGGAGGTGGAGGCAGGAAGAATAGGAATTCAAGGTCATTCTCAGTTACATAGCAAGTTAAAGGCCAGCCCAGTCTACCTAAGACTCTCCCCCTGAAAAGACACTGATCTAGGCCTCCTCCTCCTCCAAGAACAAGTTCCATTAGTGATGGGGATTCTTCCACTCATATGAGGCTGATTCACTCAGACGTGGACACCACACCCTTACCCAGAATCTGTCCTCATCAGACTCTGATGCACATGGTGCCAGTAGATGGGGACAAAGAACAGAAGACTGCCTGCAGCTCTGCCCATGGTCAGTACTTTTCAACTATCTCTGAGTATTTGCCTTGAGGAGGGCATGAGCCCCCACGTTAGCCCAGTGGGGCATGTGGTGGTGCTGGATTGATGAGGAGAGGAATTTAAACACTTAGGTGACCCCAGGGAACACCAGGAACCACCACTTGATAAAATCAATAGTACGAATTTATGGTAGTAACTCTTGAAAGAGAATTTCAAAACTGGCTTTAAAAAAAGGTTCTTACTCAAAAGTAAATAAATTCCCCCCTGTAGTCACAATAAATTTTGGACCATTGGAAATCCAATTTGCCAAACCTCTCATCCACTGGACTCATCTGTAAGAAAATGGAGAAATAGAGCCTGGGCATGCACTGAAAGCCAAAGGGACTTTAGCTCCCATCGAAAGAGAGAGAGATAGATAGATGAGAGAGAGAGGGAGAGAGGGAGAGAGGGAGAGAGGGAGAGAGGGGGAGAGAGAGTGAGAGAGAGAGAGAGGAGAGAGAGAGAGAGAGAGAGATTGAGAGAAGGGCATTGGGAGTCATCAGCCACTGTGGGCAACTCAGTACCCGTAGAAGGAAAGAGACTCACAAAATGAAGAAATAAACCTTCGCTCAGGGAAGACATTGGGAGTCATCAGCCACTGTGGGCAACTCAGTACCCATAGAAGGAAAGAGACTCACAAAATGAAGAAATAAACCTTCGCTCAGGGAAGCCGCTCCCAGGAGAACAGTACAGACTGACACCAGTTGTTCCACTCAGGTTGCTTCCTACACTGTTTCATGAAGGCAAATGCACATCTTTCCCACCCTGCCCCAGCTCTCTGGGATGCCAAGCTCTGACAGGATCTACCCGTGGTGCTGAACCGTATCATATTTTTGAGTTGCATGTTCCATGCCACAGAAAACACCTTGAGCTGACTGAAAGCGATAAAACAAACACCCCACAATAAACAGGAATGGTTAAGAGAAAGAAATAGAGGTCAGGTGGGCAAAGGGGAAGCTGTGAAGCTAGAACCCCAGGCAAAAATCAGCCCTAGAGAAGTCCATGCACCACGCCAAAACACAGGCTGCTGACCTTGATTCTTTATATCAGTGGCTCCCATTCAGAGTGCTGAGGGAGGACATCTGATCAGCACAGACAACACAATGAGATTCAGCATGCCACAGACGTAAGAAAAGATCTGCCTTCTTCTATAAGGAATGATCTCCTTCTTCCCTATTCTCTGCAATTAGTGCATAGGGCAGAATTTAGAGGCCCAAGACATCAGGGCATCAGGGAGGAACATGCTTATAAAGGCTGTCCTGTTCCAAGTATGCTTGGGTTCAATTCCAAGATTCATATTTAAAAATAAATAGATGGCTGGGGAGATGCTCACTTGGTAAGGAGCTTGCCATGCACGCATGAAGACCTGCATTTGACCCCAAGAACCCATATTTAAAAAGCATGGCGGCGTGCACTTGTAACACCAACCCTGCGAAGGCAGAATCAGGAAGAGCCTTAGGGATCACTGGTTAGAGAGCCTAGCTGAACTGGGCAAGTCTCAGGTCCCAGTGAGAGACCCTGTCTCAGAAAGTAAGGTGGATAGTGCCTGAATGATCACCGAGGTTGTACTCTGGACTTCACATGCATAAGCACACGCACACACATGTACACACATCAGTGCACATATGCATGCATCTCCCCCACACAAAATAACACAAGTACACAAAACAATAAAACAATATTTACTTCTTTCTATCCGTGCCTCCAAGGCCTAAAATCTATAGGGTAGGTAACCACACAAGAAGGTAAGGAAGCAAAAATTCTTTCCTGAAACTATGTAGATGCCAGTAACAATGTGTGGCTGTGTCTGGATCCTCATGTGGGGCCCCACAATGTGGCAGTAACATATTAATAAGAAGCTTCACTCTTGGAGAAGTTTGACCAAGAATGGGTCAGATTTTGTTCTGATTTCTCTCAGGACTGAACTCTATTCTTCCTCTCTAAAAAAGGACTCCTCTCGAATTTCAAGCATATCAAGCATGGTATGAATCATATTTGATAACAGTTTTACAGAGAAAGAAGTTGTTTTTCTGACCCTGCTAACTCTGAACAGCACACAAAGCCACAGACAGAGCTCATCAGCTCATCAAGCTATGCCATATCTGCTGGGGAGACATTGCAACATCATTGTTGTTCTCAACATCATCACTGTCACATCTCACACACATATACATTGTTCTAAGTCAGGGCACCACTGACTCACAAATAGGGAACACGGTATAAAATTAAAGTGATGCATTTAGTTTAGCTTGTAAGAGTTAATTACATTGGGATTTCAAATCATTGTAGGACTGATTACATTGTTTTTCTTAGAAGGAATACATAGTTCTAATGTTCTCAAAACATATGATTAATTTGGTTTACATGGTTATGTAAAATTTCAATTTGTAAAGGCTTGTTACAGAGTCTTTCTTAGAAAAAGTCATCCCCACAACATTGCTTAAGAGAGTTGATACCCAACAAGGGACCCGAGCTTCCCCACGTACAAAGAAGGGAGCAGACCTGACTATGATTTAACTACCTAGTAAACTGGGGGAAGGCAGTGATGCCTAGATCTGCTGTCTATGAAGACAACAGTTATAAGAGCTGATATTCAGAACTTAGAATTTGCAAACTTTAGTGACAGTGATAGACAGCCAAGGTCAGACATGGCTGCTGTGTTGCAGGATGTTTTCTCTGTGATCACCAAATTCCCCAGTTCCTTTCTCTGCCTCTTATGTCTGTGCAGAGATAGAACTGGGTAGATGTTACAATCACAGATCCTAGAACCAGATGCATGAATGTTTGAACTATGGCTTTGCTATGGAGTTTAGGGGTGACCTCAGGCAAAGTGGTAAATGTATTAGCTCTCAACCTTGGGGACTAGAGTGAGCAAGCTGAATGACCGTACCCTGACCTTGCCCCATCAGAGATCTCTGTCTCATTGGTATGGGGTAAGGCCTGGATGCAGACTCAAAGATCCACTGATGTTTAGAATATGCAGGGACATTTAAGAACTTCTAATTCAGTCTGTGGCTCTGGCCCATGCGGTGGTGCCACCTACATTCAAGGTAGGTCTCCCTTCCCCAGTTAAATCTCTCTGGAAACACCCTCACAGACATGCCCAGATGTCTCTTAGGTGATTCTAAGTCCAGTCAAGTTGTCAATGAAAGTTAACTATCACAGGGCATTATGGGGGACACCAAGTGCAATGACAGATGAAGAACTAGAATCATACATACTGTTCTGTAAGTGGAGAGTATAGGTTGGAAATCGTCCCTCTGTGTTTGTTAGCTGAAGTTAACATGGCTTACACATTTACCCAGTCAACCTTCTGAGCCTGGGCCTGGGATTCACAACACTCATGTCCCAGTTCTGCAAACAGGACTGCCCATCCACTGCCACTTTCCCAATCTCCTTCCTCATTTACTCAGGGTGCTTCACCACAGTGCTTGGATGACTCAGGCATATTCCCTCTGCTCAGGCCTGCAACTGTTTTCCACCATGACTCACCTATCACCTATCACTACACCCACCCTGCTACCCACAGCTCACCCACTCATGCCATTAAACCCTGTTGCTTAGGGTTCACCCAGCCCCTTTCTTTACATAGCCATACAATCCAGTAAGCATTCACCTGTAGTTGGTTGTTCAAGACTCACCTCTGCTATCTCAAACTCAAGCTCCCTGGCAGCACGGACACTGTCTCCTTCTATTACCTCCAAATGACACATCACTGAGCTGACCCACCAGATGTGTGCAGCAAATATTTGTTGAATGAATAATAGATGAGTGGCTGCTTCAGGAGCCCAGCTTCCTGATAGTCACATTTTTCCTTCCACTGGTCAGGTTAATATTAATTTCTCCTCAGGAGGGGAGGCACAATCTGTTTCATTGGAATGGAGGCTGGAAGCATGCTTTGAAGCTATCAGCTTTTCCAGAAGGGTTGAATCCATTCCAAGGGGGGAAAAAGCTGGAGACTGTCCAGCAAAGACATGCTCCAAGGGCCACTCCTAAAACTTTGCATTTTCCAAG